ATGTCAACAAAGGGAAAACAAATAGAAAGTTTGATATTGATTGGTTTCTACTTACCAGTGTTGAGTATCTGAGGCCTCTTTCTACTAGAGATCCCTGAACCAGCCCATACACTATGGCTCAGAAAGACCCTCCAAAGATGGGAGTCCATGGGCACTTATTAAACAATGCCATTCCCACTGACTGTGTGATTCCCCTATGGATCTCAGTTCCCCTTTCGAAGTTACCACTGGGTTTCTGGAGTCTCATGACATGGGAAAAACAAAAAACCAAAACCAGAGTTATTGGGCAGTGGGTGCTTGAGGTGAGATCCCAGCAGCTCTTGGGGACTGTTTACTTCAGTTGCAGAACCACCACCAATGGGTGGTAGCATGGGATGTGGAAGGCACCTGCCTCACTCAGCATCAGGGGCTGAAGAGGTGCAGTAAAGCACAACACATTCAGGAAATGAGGTTGGAAACATAGGCGAGACTCAAGACACTGCACACCTCTAAAAAGTTTAAACCTAATTTGCTTGTCTGGTCCTGACACCTTGAAGGTATTCAATAAATCTTTAGTTAGTGAATGAATGCTGAGAGGATGTACCTGAGCCACAATCTTTTAAACAATTTTATTTATTTTTTGTGTTTATGCGGTACCAAGGAATTGAACTCAGGGCCTCATGCATACTAGGCAAGCATTCTACCATTAAGCCACATTCTTTGCCCCTGGGCCACGTTCTTGCTAAGCTATTGGGCTTTAGGATTCAGCAGCTAGCCGTGTGACTTCTAGCTTCTTTAACCTTTCCTGTTGTCTTTTCTTGAGGTGGTGACAATAATGTCTTCTTTATGGAGCTGTTGTGAGGAATTAGATGAGATAAAAGATATATGGCAACTAGACATGTAGACTCAATAAATGTCAGTCACCCTACTCTTGTCCCTATGATAACCCGAAGCCACATAATAAAGCTGAACTACTCACCAGCTACAGACAATGAAAGCTGTTCCTGGGGTCTGGTTACAGAAGATGAATGCTAGCATTTCCAGCTATATTGGTCCTGGTGGAAAAAATTAGTGGTTTTGGTAACAACTTCTTTGGGCCTAAAGGGAATCATACTGCTGCTTTAATTAAAGGACAGAGTTGAAACTATCCTCTCAAGGAATGTACACATTCAGAAATTGATGTTTATGGTAACTTGTAATTTTCTGTTTCTTTGTGAATTTAAAATATACAAACAGAAGGATGTTCTGATCGATGTGTATTGACTAGGGTCATCTATCACTTCAAGTCTGCATTTTCTCACCCTTTCTGAAATCCTAAGAGAGACCACAAGGCCTGTTGTTGTCTTTTTAATGAAACAGCTCTGCACTGACTGGTTGTAGGTGCTGGGAGCTTCTAGGTCCTTCCAAGTGGACAAAGGAGATTGGGTGGCATCTGAGGCTTTGAGGTATAAGTTGAAGGTAGGAAGGAAAGCAGGTTGAGAAAGTAGATAAAGGATTGAGAAGTCACTGTAACTGGGAAATTAAAAAAAATAGTGTATTTAAAAATGTATCCTAGTGGCACTGTGGCTCAAAGTGGTAGAGCACTGACCTTGAGCTGGAGAGCTTGGAATCAGCACCCAGGTCCTGAGTTCAGGCCCCACAACTGACAAAAATAAATAAGTAAAAAAAAAAAAAAAAGATGTTTGCCGGGCGCTGGTGGCTCACGCCTGTAATCCTAGCTACTCAGGAGGCTGAGATCTGAGGATCGCGGTTCAAAGCCAGCCCGGGTAGGAGAGACCTTGAGACTCCTATCTCCAATAAACCACCAGAAAAACAAACCGGAAGTGGCGTTGTAGCTCAAGTGGTAGAGCGCTAGCCTTGAGCTGAAGAGCTGAGGGACAGCGCCCAGGCCCAGAGTTCAAGCCCCACGACTGACAAAAAAAAAAAGTATCCAAGCTGGGCACTGGTGGTGGCTCATGCTTGTCATCCTAGCTACTTAGGAAGCTGAGATCTAAGGATCAAGGTTGGAAGCCAGCCTGGATAGGGAAGTTTGTGAGACTGTTATCTCATTAACCACTAAAACACTAGAAGTGGAGCTGTGGCTCAAGTGGTAGAGCACTAGTTTTGAGGGTTTTGTTTTGTTTTAAAGCTCAAGGACAGCACCCAGACCCTGAATTCAAGCTCCAGTACCAACACAGACAATGAGTGTGCAATCCCCTATAACAGTCTGCCATGAAGATAAACATGTGATTCATGCCAGTGGCATACCAAGTTAGAAACAAGAAAAAGGAAACAAAGAAGGAGAAGTGTTCATAGCAAATCAGGTAAATATAGACTTTGGCAAGAAAGGAAATACCAGAGTTGAGAAGCCTCTCAGGAAAGCACATCTGACCCAGTCTAGAATGATCCACCATAGGGAAGCTAAGCAGGAACAACAAGGTGTGGGGTGAATTTGTCTATTTAGTCATTTTTCTCCTTTAACATTGTCACTCAATTCTATTTGACATTAGAAGAAGCAGAGGGAATACAAAAAGTGGGAGACAAAAAGTGGCTCATGACCAGTTCTTAGAGAGAAACAAAAGATGTTACTAATGGTTATAACAAAACAGAAGGATTGCAAACAAAGATACAAGCATACACGGGATCTAATGGCCATACAAACGGGGGGTGGGGGGTCTTTGGCAGGCAGGAGTTCCAAGAAAGAGGGTAAAGCACAAATGAAGAAAGCCAGGTCTTTAAGGTGACAGCATGTGATTTGGGCTAAAGTGTAGGTGGAAGGGGAAAAAGTGGGCAGCAGTAGTGAAAAGCAGTCTGGACTCTACCCTCTGGGTGAGCTGGGAGCTAAGAGGTTAAGAAACACTGAGCATCAGTGCCTCATCCCTGTAATCCTAGCTATTCAGGAAGCTGAGATCTGAGGATCTGGTTCCCAGACAGCCAGGGCAAGAAAGTTCATGAAACTCTTATCTCCAATTAACTACCCCAAAGCCGGAAGTGGAGGTGTAGCTTAAGTGGTAGAGCCACGAGCCTTGGGCAAAAAAAAACTAAGAACTGGTGGGGTTTGTGTGTGCACGTGCGTGCACACACACACACACATACACGAAGCTGGATAGACTGTGACAATTGTGCAGGTGAGAGGTGAGCGGCAGGTGGCTGGACAGTGTAGCTCCAGTGTGCAGAGGCCATACAGCTGGGAAGGAAGCATTTCCTGCTGCCTTTTAAGAGTGTCAATGTCCTTGTCCTTGACAAGAGAGAACGGAGAATTACTGATAAGGTCCTCGTGTCTTGCAAGTATATCCAGACTTGGAGACATCTTATCAGTGCCTCTCTTGGCAGGCAGCCGACCTCAACCAGCGACTGGAGAAGAAAGAAAGGGAAGAGCAGCACTGCCAGGAATGAGGGGCAGTGCTAAGCGGAGTCCCCACACAGCCCCTGGGCCCCTCCCCAGCAACTCCTCTTAGGGAAGCTGTCCGAGGCTCTAAAGAGGAGGTGTATTGGAGGGTCCCCTATTAGGTTTAGATCTCTGAAGCCATGGATTAATGATCAACACGGGAGTACCCTCAGCTTTCAAGTCATAGAACTCTCCAGCAAAGCCACTTGTAGCTGTCACTCCTGCTCATTTCTCCCCGGAAAAGCCCCAGCGAATAGTAACGAGAATATTTAAAGGGACTCGAAAACCAGTTTTCTATCCCAAGTGTTCGATGACACTGCTGTGTGATCTTGGATAAGTTAGTCCAAGGCGCTGGATAAATTCCCGCGCTGGGGCCACCCGGTGGCTCCGCAGATGGCCGATGGATCAGTGTCTAACACCTGTCCTGGCCACTACGCCACATCCCTTGGCCGGCACCTTTTCCGCGTCGGTCCTGGGCGCCGCCCATGACCCTTGGCGGAGAGCCCGGGACGCCCCCGCGCGCTCCCTGGTCCGGGCTCCCTCCTCCCCCCGCCCTCTCCCCCGGCCGCGCCGCGCGCGCGCGCACACACAAGGGGGGGGTGCAGCCCGCACGCTGCGGCGGGAGCTGCGCAGCTCGACTGGCGCGGAAGGTGCACGCGGGCCGGGTGTCGTCGCCAGCGTCTCCGAGGTGGGCAGCCCCGCCGGCTCGCTCCCGGCTCCCGGAGCAGCTCCCCGACGCGCCCACAGGCCTAGGCCCGGCACTCACCAAGGCTCCGCCCCCCGCCGCGGCTTTGCTGCAGCCACAGCCCGCGGGGCGTCGCGCGCAGCCGAGAGGGGCAAACCCGCGGCCCCTTGCGAGCTGCCCCGGGGCGGGCTCAAGGCCCTCACCTCCGCCGCGGACGGCTGCTTACGTCAGGGAGGCGAAACCCTGAAGGAGAGGAGGAAAAAGAAAAAGGCACGAGGGCGGAAGGGGAAAAACTTTTATTTATTTTTTTCTCGTCAGACGCTGAAGGGAGGGAAGGAGCCCGCGCGACCCCAGCAGGCCGTGCGGCGCGCCGGAGCCCGGGCTCCCCGCGGAGGCTCGACGGGGCGCCCAGCATGTGGGACCCGCAGGAGTTTGAGCGCCACTGGAAAGCCGAGTTCCCAGGGCAGGAGGCACCGGTCATGACGCTGGAGTCGGTGCTGGACATGGAGCGGGAGCTGGAGCGCTGCAAACTCAACCTGAAGCAGTTGCAACAGGTGTTGGCGGAAGAGAAGTTCAAAGTCTCCTACCTGCAGGCGGCCCTGGCTGGGGAAAAGCTGGACCCAACCGGCGGCCGCCTGGCGGGCGGAGACGGCGACTGCCGGGGCGCCGGGGCCCAGGAGCCGGAGCCCGCGGGGCGGGAGCGGGAGCCGTGCAAGGAGGAGAGCGCAGCGGGGCGCGGCGGGGACCCCGATAAGGGTCGGGACCAAGAGGTGTCGGCCAAGGCCGAGCCTCCCTCCAACGTGTGCCTGGACCTTCCCACGTGGCCCCCGGTGGCGGAGGGAGGGGGCGCGGTGCGCAGCCTGACCGCCGCCATCCACCAGCAACTGGTGCAGCCTCGCCTCCTGTTCAGGCCGCGAGACGACTGTGTGCTCCCCGACCACGATGGTACGGTTGCCAACGCACCCGGAGAGGAGAGGTCCTCGGGGACCCGGGCGGGGCGGGGCTCGGAGGACAGCGAGCCGGACGCGTCGGGCGCTGACGATGGAGGAGACAGCAGTGACCACGACTTCGAGATGGTGGATTTGAATGAGAAATTTGTCCTCGGTCACTTGCTCGTGGCCCCCTATCGGTTTGGAACCCGCGATGAGGCCGAGAAGCCCGCGAGGGCTTCCAGCCCTCATCGCTGGTTGCATCTGATCCCCGGGGGACGGAGGCAGCAGCGCCGGAGAGATCTGGAGGTGGAGGCCAAGGACAGTCGGGCTTCCCTTCTGGTGGAGGATGAGGCCCCCAAACGCGGGGCCCGCGAGCACCTCACCCATTGGGGGCGCAAGAGGTTCCTGCGGGTGCCGGAGCGGGACTCCCCCAGTCACAGCTCTCCGGAGAGAGGCAGCGATTGCAGCCACAACAGCTCAGACCACGAGGAAGGCTTCTCTGCAGGTAGGCACACCCCTCTCTAGACCTCTTACCCCCCACCCCCGCACATCATCCCTCCCCTCCAGACCTTGAGGGTCCTCTGGTTTAACCTTGGGCACCTGGGAATAAGGTGGAGGCCGGGGAATAAATTTTATCTCTTTATTTTAAAGCCACTTGTGGAACTTAAAAACAAGCTATAGTGCAAAATGAATTTGGGGGTGGGGCGAGTTTATAAACAGAATGGTCATGGCAGGAGTCAGACCCAGGAAAGGACTCTTTTCCTTCAAGCCTCAGCCTTCCTTCTCCATCGGGACATTACCGCCACCATCCCTACTTCCAGGCCACCTTTCACAGGTCCCCCACATTCCTTTGCAGCACCTTTATGATATCCCTCTGCACAAACTCCAGTGCTTCCCCACCCTGACCGCCCCCATCCCCCGGTTTTTTGGTGTGAAAGCAAACTTATCTCACATCTTCTCTGGCTTTCATGTTAAGCTGGGGTCAAATTAACTCCAAGGAGGGTGCATGACACTCACCACTCCTTTTGTTGACTTCCCCTTCCTAAAAGGATGCCCTGGCTCTGTCAGCTTCCTAGGAGCCTGAGAGATTGAGAGGAGTGGGAAGGCTTAGAGTCATTTTTCAGCTGGCTTGGTGCCCAGCAAGCCTGTCTTCAGCGAGTGCCATCACTTGATAAAGGAGGAATCTGAAGCCTGGGGAAATTAACTGGTTGAGCAAATGACCTGAAACCTTCATGAGGGCCTCTGTTCCATTGCCTCCGCTTGTGTCTGCTCTCCTCTCTGAGGACAGGGCCTACGCTTAATCAAAGGTGTTTGAATCTCCTTGTGGTGGTCTGCACAGTGCTCAGTAAATATTGTCTGAATAAGTGCATGTGTGTGCATTGGACTGATTGGTTACCAGGCTTTTCATGGGTCAGAGAGTGAAAATGGAGTAAGGAGGAAAGGTTAAATGGGGTTGTGGGGTGGGAAAGGATGCTAGGGACTCTCAGCATCCTCTCAGCCATGAGGAAAACATACATTGGTGTCAAGTTGGGTTGAGCTCCACCAGGAACTTAAGACGCTTTCTCACTCAGAGATGGATTAAAAAAAATAGAGACTTCACAGATGCTGGGATTGTTCCAAAATCTCCATTATTAGATCTTATCTGGGCAAGTTTGCATTTGAATGAAAAACTGTCCACTATGCTAAAAGCACATTTGGAAAGTCCATCAAGTCATCTGTTTTGTTCAATTATACTTATTCATTAGCCAAGATTGGCTGCTTTTCCCATAGGTAATGCTTTTGCCACCCTTGCTAGTAACATTTTTTTTATGTCCCTCATTAACTTAAAGCAAGCATCTGAAGACTTCATTCTAGCACCAAATTCCAAATGCTCTCAATGGAGGCTACCCAAGTGGCCCCCACTTGCTTCAGAGCTGGCTTCTATCCCATTCCCCTAGACACCCACATCAATCACTCTGTTAGGTGTTCTCAACACATTGTATTTTTCTCCCATGAGTGATTCTTAATTCTATGTGGTCTCCTCTCTAGCACTTGATGCAAATTAGAAAGCTGTATGGACTCTTGGCTAACAAATTGCTGAAGATTCCATTCTGGGTAGACCAATGACAGAAGATTCTTCTTCCTCTAGAGTAAAAGACTCCAGCCAGTGCACATGCCTGGCACTTGTGGCTTTGGATGATTATACCAGGGCTGAATTTCAAACCCCATTCTGCGCCCCCTCTTCAGGACAAGTTTTGAGTAAGAGCTATGCACAGGGACGCATCAAGGCCCCCACCTCCTCCTTTGGAAACCTCCTCCTTGAGGAAGTGAATAGATGCACATGTGCATGCACATGTGCACACATACATGCATACTCATACACATGTCTAGAAGAAGGAACCTTCAAATGTATAGGGAGGCAATAGGGTGAAGGACAGAGGGATTACACTGTGTGTGGCAGCTCACTGGAGTCTGTGCTGTAAGGAAAGCATTGTGAGGCCTTTGTTGGCCACCCTTGCTTGGTATTTCCTGCCTCATTTTCCTCCATAGCACTCATTCAGTTACGTGCCTCATACCAGTAATCCTACCTACTCAGAGGCTGAGATCAGAGAATTGTGATTTGGAGTCAGACAGAGCAGAGAAGTCCAAGAGACTCATATTTTCAATTAATAAGCAAAAAGCCAGAAGTGGAGGTATGGTCCAAGTAATAGAGCAGCGCCATCTATAAGCAAGAAAGCCAAGCAAGAGTATGAGGCCCTGAGTTCAAGCCCTAGTACTGGGGAGGGAGGAAGGGTGAGGGCAAGTTTCAAGGGCCCAGTGGTGGCTTACACCTATAATCCCAGCTACTATGGAAGTGGAGATCAGAAGAACTGTGATACCAGGCCAGGCCAGGCAAAAAGTTAACAAAACCCCATCTTAACCAAGTTGAATGTAATGTTCATGCCTGTCAGCCAACTATGTGGGAGGTGTAAACAGGAGGACTGAGGTCCAGGCTGGGCCCTACTTGAAAAATAAAGAAAAGAAAACCACACAAGAAAACCCCCAAACCCCAAGACAACAACAACAACAACAAACAAGTAAAAAGAAAGGAAGAGTTCAAAGCTAGCCTGGATTACATAATGAGTTACAGTCCAAAAAGTACACAATCAACCCATACACTCTGAATCACAATTTTGTGTGTCCTTGGAAATAAATTGTTTGACTTTTCTATAGCTTATTTCCCACATCTGTAAAGTGGGCTGATAAACACAACCCATACTGTAGATATGGGCTTTATACAGGTTCTGGCACACAGGAAGCAGCTGAAAGAGTTAACTTACCATGGCTATAGGCTGTTTTTCTTGGTATCACCTCTCAAAAGTTTCTTGCTTCCAGGCTATTCTGAATCAGAGGCAGTTTGGATATCTATAACAGATTTGTTGTTGTCCAGCTTAATTGTCTCTTTCTAGAAACTTCCAGGCAACGGGCAGGACCTAGTGCAGAGTGGGAATTTGGTTCATGAAACTCTTTTAAGTTGGATCTGGGGGCTAGGAAGATGGCTCAGTGGTAGAGTATTTGCCTTGCATGCATGAGGCCCCTAGTTTGATTCCTTAGCACTACATAAGCAGAAAGAAAAAAAAAAGCCAGAAGTGGAGCTGTGGCTCAAGTGGTAGAGCGCTAACCTTGAGCTGAAGAGCTGAGGGACAGTGCCCAGGCCTAGAGTTCAGGCCCCAGGACAGAGCCAAAAAAAAAAGTTGAACCTGGTCCATATGCTTTCCCTCTCGCCACCAGTGATCATACCCTGTATCTGTATCTGCAGAACTTGACTGAAGGGCAGGTTTTATGGAGGTACTGGGGTTTTAACTTAGGGTTTCTAGCTTGCTAGGCTGGTTCTCTATTACTTGAGCTATGCCCTCCAGCCTTGTTGCTTGCTGATTGTTTTTGAGATATGTGTACTTGCTTCCTGCCTGAGTGATTGCCTGGCTGAGATCTCCCTACTTTAGAATTCCCTTGTAGCTAGGATTATAGATATGCACTAGCTTATCCAGCTTCCTTCTGTGGAGTCTTGTAAACTTTTTGACTAGGGCTGCCCTGGAAACTTCAATCCTCTCAATGTCAGCCTCCTACATGGCTCAGCCTGATAGGCATACATCACTGTACCTAACTGGGTTGAGAAGGGGGTCTTGAGAATTTTTCTCCCTAGGCTGGCCTTGAACCATGATCTTCCCAATTGCAACCTCCCAAGTAGCTAGGATTATATGAACCACAGATGCTCTACTGAAGGGCAGATTCTACTGGGTAGTAATTGGCTTTGCATCCTTCTCTGTGTTTCCATGAAAAAGTCCTTTGAACTCTCATATAAGAAGGCAAAAGTGTTTTCTTGGAGAAGGACTATTTTCTCTCAAATCTCTAAACCAAGACACCTTTGGAATTTCTTTCTACATATGATAGCAAAATCAAAGTTTAAATAAATTAGAATGCTAGTTCACTGAGCCTACTCTTTAAGCATCTTTAGGGCCTGGTTAGGATTGGGGCATGACAGTGGTGGTGTGAATGGGAGACAGTGGCTGAGCCAGAATGGCCATGCTGAGTCTTGTGTACTGTGAAGTCAGACGTGTGTCTGTGTCCTGGTGGACAAGCCCTCAGCTTTTGCATGTCTCCATCTCTGGCTCTCAAGCAGTAATAACAGGAATCCCTACTGAGGGTTTGTGTTTGCCAGCTTCTGCCTGAGCACCTCCCTATTCATTCATGTCATACAACAGCTTCGTGAGGGGCTGGGAAGGTGTGGCTCAGTGGTAGAGCACTTGCCTTGCATGCCAGAGGCCCTGGGTTCGATTCCTCAGCACCACATAAGCAAAAAGAAAAAAGCTGGAAGTGGCGCTGTGGCTCAAGTGGTAGAGCGCTAGCCTTGAGCTGGAGAGCTTAGGGACAGCGCCCAGGCCCAGAGTTGAGGCCCCACGACCAGACCCAAAAAAAACCAACCAAACAAAAAACCAACAACAACAGCTTCATGAGACAGTACTACTATTATTTCCATTTTATACATGAGACTCCTGAGGTCTGCAGAGCTTAAGTGACCTGTCCCAAAGTCATCCAGCACTTTTTGAACCGAAAGTCCAGGCTTTTAAACAGATGCTAAGCTGTGTAGCCACAAGTATTAGTAACCTACCCCTCATGATAATTATGAGGTTTAAATGCAAGGAAATATTTGTTTTCTTATTTATGTAGTTATTTTTTTTGGGGGGGGGTCCAGTCGTGGGGCCTGAACTCTGGGCCTGGGCACTGTCCCTCAGCTCTTCAGCTCAAGGCTAGCGCTCTACCACTTGAGCCATAGCGCCACTTCCGGCTTTTTTCTTTTTTTGCTTATGTGGTGCTGAGGAATCGAACCCAGGGCCTCAGGCATGCAAGGCAAGCGCTCTACCACTGAGCCACCTTCCCAGCCCCAATGAGCACATTTCTTATCAAGCATTGTAGCCTCCTCCTTTGTTTCCCCTCCCCATCCCTTCGCATCCTCCCCACCCTCCCCACCACCAAAGTTGTAAAGTA